ATCCGGATGTTCCTATTGGAAAAACTCTCCCAATCACATTATCCTGTGTAAGAAATGTTTGAGATAAATTAATTTATAGTTTACTATTAAACTTAGAATTATCTATTTATAGAACCATATTAGTATTTTATAATTTTAGCCTAGATACTAAATGTAAAAAATAAAACATTTATAATATATTGGACCAATATTTTTTCTTGAATATCTTTTAGCTTTGGTCAGATTCTGAAAAAGCCCTCAGTAAATAATGAAATCAAATTTGGGTTTGTTTATTGCACACAATTTAGAGCATATTTACAATAATTATTTTAATGAAGTTTAATTATATGCTACAGCAAAGATATTCCAGTCTTAAAGAACAATCCTTATAATAAAGGGGATAATTAAACCAGTTTTTATTAATAAGAATTTTACTAATATTGTGGGTTTTTTATAGAAGAAATTGATTTATTTTTTGCGGATTTTGACGTTTTATAAACTTTTAACAATATTTTCGAAATAATAATATTTAATATTTTAACACAATTTTAAGATATTTTATCCGAGAAAAGCTAAACTAAAAAAAATCCACAATTTTTTGTATAGACAAAAAAAGGGAAAAAAAAATAATAGATTTACAAACAATATAAAAAGGGTTTAAATAAGATAAAATGTAGTTATGTATGATTGAGCCAAAATCAAAACAATAATATCCATAATAAATTTATATAGATACTCCAACAATTATAAACAATACAAAAAGGTTATTATGAATAGTGCGTTTATTTATCAAAAAGTCGAGGCTAAAAATCAAAAATTATAAACATATATTTTATCTATTTCATAAGGCCACATATTGATGCAATACTGTTTGTTAGCAGTACAACACAAATATTTGATAATATTGATTTCATAAATCATTGATTAAAATTTTTATTATTGATATTAGTACGTTATATTTACAGTAATTATAAAATTAAAATATTGCAACAAGTAGCACATTTTATAATTACAAAATAAAATATATATGTAAATATTTTACAAATTTATAGAGTTGTAGTGTAGTGGTTATCACGTCTGCCTCACACGCAGAAGGTCTTGGGTTCGAACCCCAATAGCTCTAATGTAATAACTTTTTTGCATATAAATCTTAATGGCTTTAAATTAAAAAAAGGGGAGCGTTATTTTTTTATCTATCCAAAGAGATTTGTTATCAGAAAATGTCAGATAAAAAGAGTTGACAAAGTCCAAATAGCCTTAGATCCTATACCTGCTATGTTTCCGTTTAAACTCAAAGCAATAACACAAAGCGCTTCATCAATATTATAAATGGCCTCAACAACATGACAAAGTGTTTATGCTAGGCCAAGTAAAAACAAAAAACAGAATCCTTAGCCACTTCACGCAATTGGCAAAAACATATATTTTTTAAAAA